TCCAGCAGCGCCTCGTAGCCTTCCCAGCCCGGCCCCGCGCTCCGCGCCCGGCAGCCCCCGGTCCCGGCCCGCAGCACGGCCCGCCTCAGCGCCATGCGGCCTCACGGTGCCCAGGCGGTAAATGCGCATGCGCGACACTCCGTGGTCCGTGCGCATGTGCAGCTGCCCATTCCTGCTCCTGCCCCCTGCTCGCCGGAACAGCTTGGCTGTTCCAGCCTCTGCTGATCCTCCCTCCGCTGCTCTCTGGGACGGCAAGCAGGGCACTAGAGCGCTTGCATTTGAAGCGCTTTATTGACTGGGGCAGATTTGCACGGTGGCTGCCAAGTTAAATGGGTGGGGGAGGGGAGAAAGCAAACCCACATAGCCCCAGGGAGCTGGTATGCCTCCCCCAGATGTTGGTGAGGCACTGGTTGTGATGCCAACTCCTGCTGGTTTCTTCTGGGAGCGGGGGCCTGTCAGGTGCCCCAGAGCTTTGGGATGCCAGGAAACAGGTTGTCACAGGCAAGGGGAGTTGTGGTTCTCTTCAGAGCAGCAGCACATTGCCATGGCAGAGGTTCCCCAGACAATCCAGCAGTGGACTGATCTTTCTGCTGCCAAGTGTGTGGTGGAGGCGAGTGAAGCCTGGTAATGAGCTCCCAGCTGGCAGTCTGACTCAGGAGCAGGGCAGTGGAAATTTCCATAGATAAGGCCTTTGCTAAATCATGTTTTTGAATTAGAGACGGTAGGTGGAGCTGCTTGAAGAAGAGAGTAGGCTTTCAGTGTGCCATGAAAAATTCATGCCTAGTCAGTCCCACTGAACTGGAATAATCCCCTCACCAGCTCTTTGCTGTACTCGCCGGCCCTACCAACCAGAAGAGTGACAGACAGAAAATCAAAGAGACAAGAATTTACTAGGTCACTAGGTCAGCCTGAAGAATTAAACTTCTAAAACAAAATGAATCTAATTCACAATGCTGTCTGCGCTGGGATCACATTGCTAGTTACAATGGTACTTACAAAAATCGGATCCAACACTTGCTCAGTTCCAACACCTGCCAGGGATATCAGGCTGAGAACTGGGATTAAATTAAATAGGGATTTTTATCTGCTAAGCATGCCACATATTGCCATCAAGTAATCTGACCTAGAATTTTTAATTAATAAAAAAAAATACATGTTGGTGTCACAAGCATCGTGAAGAATTCTGATCCCATTTTCAGAAGAGGCCACGTTCAATAAAGTCAGTGCAAAATCACACCTGACCTAAAAGCCACGTTTACAGCAAAACATGCATGTAAGGTGAGATATATCACTTTCACAGTGAGCTAATTTCACAGGATGGAAACTAAGTGATTTGTTTCTTCCTGCCCCAAAGAACTTCCACTCAATATTACACAGGAGAAAACAACTCAACGTGTAACTTCTAGCATCTTGCAGTGTCACCTGCTACGTCACAGCTTTAATACTGCAAGATGCTAGAGGTGTCATAGTGGCTGCTGACGGACACGAAAAAAACAAAAAAAACTGTGCTTGAATGAGGTATTGGATAAAAGTGCTAAAAAGCCCTGCTGAAGCACACGATCTACACAGGTGTTGGGCAAGCCAGGTCAAACTGATGCAGCTCTTCTGGATATGTGCTGCGCACAGTGAAGGGGGCACAAAGCTTAAAGCAAAGCACCATTTTGTGTTGTGTCCCATTCACCTCTGCATCCCCATTGCTCCCCCACCTGTTAGTGGCCTTTGAGGTTAGATGGAACCATGGAAAAAGGGATTTTGAAGTGAGAAAACTGGTGAAGGGTCACAAACAGCATAAAAACCCAGCCTTCACTGGCAATAAGGCAAATAGGACAAACCACAATCCTCTAAATTGAGGATTCAGAATGGAAACATGCAGTCCAGCAGCTTAGTGCTGCATGAATGCCCTTATTGCATAAACATTCAGGAAAAACACTTTTAATCATATTGTTCTAAGAAATTGGGTTCAAAGTTTAAACAGGCATGCAAAACGCTACAAGCTAGATAAAAGTGGCTTTGTTCCACTCAATAGATTACATTTTTATAGCCATACTTCTATTGATTTGTTAGCATTTAATTTGGCATCTTTTGACAAATAAGGTGGGGGTAAGTGCAAGACAGCCCTAGAACTGGGATTTAACCATAGTGCTCGAAAGCAGAACCCCAGCTTTCACTACAGGATGTAGGGCTATTGCACTGCATAATGAATGCATGCAGTGACTATATATTCTTTGGCCAGAACTGGAAAATTCCATCAACTCATTGAGCAGGGATACTCTACAAATCCACCATTTGGTAAACAAAGATTCTTTGGGTGACTCTGCTATTGTTTATTAGACCAACTTAAATAGTTGAGAAAAACTTTCTTAGCAAGCTTTCAGGTTTAAAAACCCTTTATCAGGGTGAGGAAGCTTTCTAACATGTGGCAAAGCTCCCCATTATATTTTTTCTACAAGCTTTTACCATGACATCTAGAAAAAAGTGGCCCTAAACAGTTAAGTGTCCTGTACCAAGCATGCCAGTTGCCATCTGGTTTCCTTTTCCTAGTACCTTATTTGTAACCAACAACCATGTTCCCTACTTGGATTGTGAACTCTTCATGGACCGGAGTCTCTTTTATTCAAAGGTGTACACCACTACCTAGTGGGCCAGGATCAGGCCTGGAGCCAAAGCTTTAAAATGAGGGTGGCAATGTATATTGGTTTGATCATTTTCCAGGTAGCATAGTTGGAACAGGCGCAAGGGTTCATTATCATGACTTGTTCCTGTAAATAACAGAGTGAACTAAGACACTACAGAAGTGGGCATTACCTAACATGCTGTGGCTGTGTAAGGTACCAGAGAAGCCTCCAGAAGTCTCCCCTATCATGTTCTGTGGTTAAAATGATCAAGTTTAGTTGAAGAAGAGGCTTGGGAAACTGAGGTTGGAGCAGACAATTGTCTATTTCTCAAAATGAAAGATCATTTTAGCTACCTAAGCCACTAAGGCTTGGTGTATACTTGTAAAGACAACTGCATAACTTTTTGCATGTATAGGAAGATATCTTGAATGTAGGCCCATAGTACTTTTTTTTTTTTTTTTTTTTTTACCCTTTAAAAAAGGGGAAAAAAAACCCCGCGC